TTTTTTCAAATTTTAGAGAATTTTTAAGTAGAATTATTTTGTTAATATTACATCATAGATGAGAAGTATGCTATTATAGTTGTATATATATTTCATATTCTATGCATTTTGAATATCAAAATTATCTTATATAGAAATCGTACAGAAAGATAGAATAAAAGATAAAAACATTTTCTCTCTTTATTCTTCTCTGTTTATTTATTATTCTCACAGATTTGAAATTGCAAATTAATAATGTATGCAAAGTTCTAAACAGATATGAAAAAGGAAGACACACGATTATATATTAAAAATAAACAAAAATAAACAAAATACATAAATTTATATTTATATATAAAACATATATATGTATATTTATTTATAACAACAAAAATTGAATTTATTACTTTATATTTACATCTTAACGAAAAGGGTTATTTCAATTAATTTAAACTATTCTTTAGATGTTAAAACGATTTTAAAAAGGATAATACTTACACTTTTCGTTATTATTTTAAAAATACGCTTTCTTTTATAGATACTCTTACTTAAACTCTGTTAATTTAATATTGAAAATAAAGTGGCGACGAGGAGAATATGTTCGGTCGACGAACTCAAAAGAGAAGCTAAACGAGCGACTGTCCGACTAACCATCACTCATCTGCTACAGAATCGATGTAAAGGAGCGACGAACCAAGTTAGAGGAGTAACTCACCTGACAAATCCAGAAGAGACGGAATACTCGGTAACCTCTCTCTTCGCCAGTTTTCTCTTTTCAATCCACCTTTCTCTGGGAACTATGTAGATGTGCAGCTCGCAAAGCTGAAAAGATGAGACAATGATTACCAAGTGCGTCCACCCTTATAATGTTGCTTCTCCGCACGATTAAACTGTTAGAAGGAGAAGCCAACCGTGCCGTAATTTAATTATTATTGCCGTGTATAAGTGCTAATTTATTAATAATTATTATTAATGAACGTTAGTAAAATGCTTTAAAACTAAAGCTTCGTTAAATATTTACTTACATACCGATTTCGCTTGGAAAAAAAATAAAATTTATGTCATGAAACGTCTTACATTCAAGAAAAAGTTTACGCTTGTTTTGCTAAAGGCTACAGTTTTGTTTACATTATTAAGAACATATAATTGAATTTTAAGCCAGACATTACACTTACTTTCGAATATTCTTCTTAATATGGATTATATAGAACATGTAAACATGAATGGAAGATGACATCGATCCAAATCGATTTTCGGTTTCTATTTCCTGTTCACACGCAATGAAAAATTGGGACACGTTTTTATAGTATTAAATTCGAATGTTCTACAAGCCTAGAATGCTGTTGTTTGCAACGTTCTTTAGTATCATTGATATTTCGCATAGTATAAAAATTATTAATTGTTACAAGTTACATGAACTGATATACCCATGTACAGTACACGTGATAATTTGTAAAAATATATAAAATATACTCATTAATATTGTTTGGAGAAGCAAACGTTTAGCAATTACACAGTATACATAAAAGCAATTAAAAGTTCTTGTAAATATCTATTTTCAAAACTTTAAATTTTCCTTGTTTCTTATTTATGTGTATTTTATTTTTTATTTTGATTAAAAACTTAAATATCGAGTTTTCTTAAGGACTCACGCGAGTAATCTATTTTCGTTACCATTTCTTTTATATTTAAATTTCTTTTAATAGACATACAAAACAATGCATTGACTGATTTCTGATGATAGAAGTGTCATTTTAATGTTATCAGTAGCAGTGTGATAAGTCTCTGTTATCTCAACTATTGTATTTGAGATATTATTTTCAACAATTTTCGAGACAAAAAACTCTTTTAAGATATAATGCATTGACTATTAAATATAATATAAATAATGATTTAAATAAAACTAGTTTTATAAGCAGCTATTAACCAGTTTTTGAATTAATGTAATCAAACTAGATTAAATTATAAATTCAATTTATTTTTCAATACAAAAATTTTAAAAAATTCAACTATTACTTTCTTTATTTTTGTAGATGGAAGGAACTGGTTTACTGTTTTTAGATACTCAGCATACAGTCAATCGCAAAAATTCAATTTTTGATGTCATTCATGACAAATTTTAATTAATTTGTTTAAAATTTTATTTATAAGTTTAAAGAAATAAATTTAAAATCGCAACTTTAAGTCATTTTTTCTATATTATTTTTTATGTTAAAATTTCATTTCAAGCAATTTAAGTTGTTTTTTTTTTAAAAATCAAGTCTGTAATGATACGAGGCATGTTCAGAAAGTAAGTGTACTAGATTTTTATATTTTTTTAGAAAAAATGTACTGTATTTGAAAAAAATTACAGGATATTGTTGATACACTTGTTGATTATTTTTCCACATAATCGCCATTCCGTTCAATGCATATGGTAAGCCGTGACACAAGCTTCTTTATGCCCTCCTCGAAGAACTGTCCCGCTAGCATTTTTGTGAGTGTCTCGTATAACAGAGTTCTGGAGACTTGTGGAAACATCGCAGAAATTTCATCCACTATCAATCGGCGATCTTCACGAACAGTTTCCTCGATTTTTTGCACCAACTTCTCAGTCAAAATGGAAGGTTCCAGGTCTTCTGTTCGTCACGAACATTTGTTCTGCCTCCACTAAACTTCCTACACCACTTAAACACACTCGTTCTGTTCATAATACCTTCGCCGTAAACCGTTTTGATTCGCGAAAAAATTTTCGTAGGTGTTATTCCTCCCGCAAGTAGGAAGCGTATCATATCACGTGGCTCGTACTTGGCAGGATTTCTTACCGACATCTTTCACGCAACTGGACACTACAACGTGAGTTTACGTACTACCGTGTTCCTGCAATGCTCGCTCCGTCAGGAGATCTCTCGCTACCACTTAGTATTGCCAACCCTCAAAAAACAAAAAATCACAGCCCGTTATGGTCACAGTACACTTACTTTCTGAACATGCCTCGTATATCATTTGCCAAGCTATGTTTTCCACATAATGCACAAAAATAATTCGTGTTATTAAAATGAAGAATCACAATAAAAGATATATTTAAGATAAATTATTTTTTCGCTTTTAATATAAAAAGCGAGATCATTTAGTTGTTTTTTATTGCGTTTTATTTAGTTGTTTTTATATTATTTGTTTATTACATTTAGTTTGTTTTTTGTTATATTTTAAAACATTATAATTTAAAATATTCTCGCAATAAAAGACAACTTTTCATAAAGTAAAATTAATTTATCTAGCCCTTATAATGTTGC